TATTGCTTCCAGCAGGGCCGGCGGGGGGGGGCAGCCCCGCTCGGGGGGGCCACACCCCCCCAAGGCCCCCCAGGCACACTTTGGGGGGCCGCGACCCCCCCAGGCACACTCGGGGGGGGTCACACTGTGCCCTTGACCCCCCCACACCGCTCGGAGGGGTCACACTGTCCCCTGATCCCCCCCACCCCTCGGGGGGGGGGTCACCCACGCCCCCAGGCCCCCCCACACCAGGGGGAAGGCACAAGCCGGGGGGGTCCTGGCTCTGGGGGGGGGTGGTCGCGGCCCCCCCCCCGCCCCCGGTCAGAGCCCCCTGCCCGCGGGGCCTCCCTGAGCGCCGGAGCAGAACGATCCGAGAAAAGGCAAAGCCCAGAAACGCAGCCGAGACCCCCCCCGAGCCGGGGGGGGCCTCACTCGTCCGGCGCCGGGGGGGGCTCCTGGGGGGTCCCCTCGGGGCCGGCTCCGGGGGGCTCTCCGGGCGCGCGGCGGCAGCGGGGGGCGCCGGGGGGCCCGGCCGGGGGGCGGCGCCGGGCGGGGGTCGCGGAGGCGGGGGCGGCGGCGTCCAGAGAGGCTTTGGGGGCCACGTGGGGGAACCAGAGGCGCAGCATCACCTCCACCTGCAGCAGCGTGCCCAGGTACCGAGCCCTGCGGGGGGGGGAGAGACCCCCAGAGACCCCCCCGTCAGTGCCAGGCACGGGGCACCCACGGAGAGTCACTCACTGTGTCCCCCGGGGTGCTGGGGACACCCCCCATCCCTGGGGACACCCCCCATCCCTGGGGACACCCCCCATTTCAGAGCCCACTCACCCCATGTGGGGGTTCTGCAGGACGCCGATGATTCGCTGCAGCCGGTCCATGGCCACGCTCTGCTGGAAACTGCTCAGCCCTGGGGGGCCCCAAAAAACCCCTGAGTCCTCAGGGAGGGGGGCAGGGGGTGTGGGGGCCGTGGGGTTTGGGGGGCGGCTTTGGGAGGACCCACCTTTGTCGTAGCGGCCCCTCCGCAGCCCCTCCAGCAGCTCGGCCAGCGGGCGGATGAAGCCCCGGAGCTCCCGGCACTGCGAGTGGGGGAGAAGGAGGAAGAGGAGGGTGACTGGACTGGCCCCAGATGTGGAGGGGCCGTGGTGCCCCCCACAACCCCCTTATTTCCCTCTCACCCCTCCAGACCCTCTTCATCCCGCCCTGAGCCCCCCAGTCTGGGGGGAAACTGAGGCAGCCCCAGATGCCTTTTTAGGACACCCCCCCCAGCCAGCTTTGGGGGTGCCCCTTGGTTTTGCTGCCAAACACTCACTTTTTGGGCAAACAGGCGATCGCCGTCGCTGGGGGGGCCGTCTCCCCCCTCCCCCTTCCGCGGCCGCTTCCCCCCCTCGTGGGGCGACGGTGGCGACTCGGGGGGGGGTCGGTCGGGCCCCCCCGGCCTCTTCCGGCTGCGCTCGGGTCTGTGGGGGCCCCGGGGGGACCCCTCGGCCTCACTGTCAGAGGAGGGGGAGCCGCAGGAGCAGGCGCGGGCGGGGGGCTCCATGGTGGGGGGCGCAGGGGGGGCCCCCCCGAGGGAGCCTCGCCCCGAATTCAGCTCAGTCGGGGCCGCCTGGGGAAGGGAGGAAAACAGAGGGGAAAAACGGGGAACATTGGATAAAAGTGGAAAACAGAGGAACTGCCACGTTCCCACCGGGATCCCTCCCTGGGGGTCGCGCCGGGTCCCACCTGCTCCGGCTTCGGCGGTGCCGCTGTCCCCGTGCCGGTGCCGCTGTCCCGGTATCACCGTTCCCCTTCCTGGCCGGTATCAGTGTCCCGGTGCCGGTGTCACTGTCCCCGTGTCGCTGTCCCCGCTCACCGTGCCGGTGTCACTGTCTCGGTGCCGGTGTCGCTGTCCCTGGCCCCGCGCTGGTGCCGGTGGCCCCCTTCCCGTGCCGGTGGCCCTGCCGCGGTGCCGGTGTCCCGGTGCCGGTGTCCCGGTGCCAGTGTGGCTGTCCCGGTGCCGGTGTCGCTGTCCTGGTGTCCCTGCCCCGGTGTCGCTGTCCCGGTGCCGGTGTCCCGGTCTCTGTGTCCCCGTTCCGTTGCCGGTGTCTCTGTCTCTGTGTGGGGGTCTCCGTGTCCCGGTTCCCGTGCCAGTCCCGCTGTCCCGGTGCCGGTGTCCGTGTCCCGGTGCCGGTGTCCGTGTCCCGGTCTCTGTGCCCGTCCCGGTCCGTTCCCGGCCCGCCCCGCCCGCGGCGGCCCCACGCGGACACGTGCGCGCCCGCACGTGCCTGGGCCCGGCCCCGCCCCCGCCGCGTCCCCATTGGCCGCTGCGCCCCGGCAGGGGGCGTGTTCTCCCAGCGCCCGCCCCGCCTCCGCGCTCCGATTGCTCCGCGCCGGCGTCCGGCGCTGATTGGCCGGAGGGCGGGGCCGCGGCCACGCCCCTCAGCGCGCCGGTTGGTGGTTCCGGGCAAAGAGATCTTTGGCCACGCCCCCAGTGGGCGGGGGCTTCGGCGGCGCGTGGCGGTCAATGGGCGTGGCGGCCCCGCCCCCCCGCCCTTACATAACCGGGGCGGGACGGCGCGTGCGGCACCACGTGGGGGCGGGGGCCCAAGTGACGTCACCGCCCACTCGTGGGAACGGGGCGTGGTTTCCCGAGACAGGGGCGGGAGCTTGGATAGGGGGCGGAGCTTCCCTGGGAGCGCGTGCAGGAGTTGCCCCCGGGCCCCCCCTCCGAGCGCCCCCAGCCCAGGGATCGCCCTCCCCCCCCCATCCCCACACCCCTCAAAACCTCCCGAGGCCCAGAGCCCCCAGCCCAGATTCCCCCAGGAGGCCCAGAGTCCTCCCCCAGACCCCCAAACCCCCACCCCATGACCCTCCACGAGGCTCAGTGCCCC